CAGCGGCGTAGATGCTGATGCAGTATGTCTTGACTTCCGAAGTTCCTTCGACCCTCTGAACCACCGTATCCTCCTTCACAAGCTACAATGTTGTGGAACTGGTGACCCAATCCTCAGTTGGATAGGTAACTTCTTGCTTCAACGACATCTGAATGTAAGAGTTCGCGGCGTCATCTCTGACCCAATCGAGGTTAAGTGCGGAGTGCCCCAGGGCTCAGTATTTGGTCCACGACTATTCCTGATTTACATAAACGATCTCGCTACAGTAATCACCTCCAATTCCTTACTCTTCGCTGATGATCTCAAGATATAGCGAGCCATTAGAACAACCAGCGACAATGCAGCACTTCAAGGTGATCTTGACAGGGTCTACGAATGGTCGACTCAGAACCTGTTTCAGTTCAACGCTACAAAGTGCAAGGTGTTGAGCATACGCCATAAAGCCACTTGCGAATACAGACTGGGGTATCAAATATTGCAGCGCACTTCAACGGAATGCAGAAAGATCTGGGCTGTTCCGGTCAGGCCGAGAGCCTACAAAAAGCTAACCAACACCTTGGCCTTTTGCGGAGGGCATTGGGGCACTTCGATTCTTCCACCTTTTCTCAGATGCACAACGCCTACATTCGACCTCATTCTGAGTACGCCATCCACGTCTGGCAGCCATGGCAAAAGCAAGACCTTACCGCTCTTGAACTGCCACAACGAAGGGCGACCAAGAACATAAAGGGCCTGTTTCATCTCCTTCACCGATTGAAGCTGAAAACCTTCGGAGTCTACAGTAAACACTATCGACGCCTGCGTGGCGACTTTATAATAACTTATATGATCCTGAGGAATCCCAACCATTCTTGTCGTCACCTACTAAAGCTGAATCGCAATACCACACTCAGAGGACACCAGCTAAAGCTGGCCACACAATACAGCCGGTTGGAATGCCGTCGGAATTTCTTTTCGCTTCATGTGTGCCAACACTGGAACGCTCTTTCCAGATACGTATTTCTTCCCCCGCGCTAACGGATGATTCGCTCATCTACTTACATTACGCTACATAATCAGAGATGTCTACGTCAACCAAACGCGAACAAACGGTGCTCATTCTCAACTTTTGTGCTTTACTACTTACACGTTGCTGCTGTGGAACATCGTTCGGATATACTACAACTGCATCCATCAATTACACCAGTCAAAGAAAGCGGCGCACAAGTGAGCGTTGTCGTTTCTTTTGTTCTTAAGACATACCCTCTTCATATTACTCTACAGTAACAATTCAATACGCATTCTAAAATGTTTTAATGAAGCAGGGCATCTGAATCGCTAGACGCTTAAATTGACGATTTACACTTATGTTTGCTTTCACTTCAACCATCCTACGGGACTTGTAAAGCAATCGCTTTTTTACCTGTAATATATCATTGTTCATTGACCTTACTGCAAAATAACACACGGAAGCAGACCTCATCTTTGTAAATCTGATAGTAGCGAATTAGATTCACTCTGTTTTACTTCCACCTACCTCTGTGGACGGTAATCGTTAGGCAACAGAGATCTTCACACATTACCGTTATCTCACATCAGACCAGCACATTAAAGGCGACATTGCCAGTTGGTCCTCCCGCGTACGAATGCCACTGTGTTCAAGCTAAGACGCTGTGGTTCACCAGTCCAACTTGATGTTTAACGTACCGGTTGCTGAATATTTGCACCTACAACTCTTCTCCAAAGTTAGTTAAACGGCGCAATAACCAAAGGGAATTCCACTACTTCGATCAACCATTGCTCCTGGAGCGTACTATCCTATAACGCGCTACAATCAATCTGAGTTTGACAATGATACCAAATAATAACGCAGGCAGGTGTACTCCCCTGACAACGTGGGAAAAGTGGATGTTTCATCGGTAAAATAGGTTTTCTTTATGAAATAACTAGAAGATAAAGAAATGAAGCATGATTTTACATTGAACGAAGTCATAATCAGTGATCGAGAATTCTCAAATTACCAGAAACGATCTTGTCTTCCAGTATTGCGCCTGGCGGTATGTCGATTGTGCTCCCCGCATTAGCGATGATAATGACGGTACC